TCTCAGATAAATGAGGCAGCAGCATCGCTCTGTATTTCTATTTGAGTGCGTACCTTGTTGCCAGAGTGTGTACTGGCCCCACTCTCCTTTCTCTCTCAGGTTCTCCTCCTCAGGTATGAATGATCCGGTGTTTTGGTCCATCACAGCCAGAGCCTCGTCCCTGATTGTCTTCCAGTTCCTCTCTAATGTCTAAAGATACACACAACTCCAATTTAAAAGAAATAATACAGAATAAAACTGCCTTGTACACATATATGCATAAATAAATAAACCCACACACTCTGACACCTTACCTTGACCAGATCTGTGTATCCAGTCTCTTTAGCCGTCCACCACGGCTGAGCCTTCAGTCCGTCCACGTTGTACAGAGACCTCTGCCACACTGAGGCAAAATGGCCTCGTTTGTGACCCAACTCATACCAGTGATAGGCCTGCAGGGAAAGAGACACATCGACATAAAGCAAGACATGCTTTTGTGTTGGATTTTTAGAGGGTCAACAAAGAGTGGTTCTAAAACTTGAAGGAGCAAAATGTTTACTGAATTTGTCTGAAAAAAATGTATTAAATCATGGAGGTGCCAAATCAGGCGAAGAAACGCACTTATAGACAAAAGTACATACAGTTGGTGATATGTTGACACAGAAAAGCAGTGCCGAGTGTGTCATCTGACTATCAAATGTAGAAAGAGAAAGAAGAGATGGTTTTAACAAGGCTGATGCGGTACGTGGTGCGATATGTGAGGTATGAATAAACTACGCTGTATTAATGAGTTCGTAATGAACCAATCTTCTGATTTTATTAATAAAGCCTGTCCAAGCCAGGGCATGTCTTTTATTAATGAACCTGCTGATTATTGTCTCCATCAGAGCACCAGGTGACCTCATCACATGTCTTGTTTTTACCCGACTACAACACAAAATTATTTAGTTTTGTCTTAGACCAAGCAACAAAAATACTTTTCAGATTAACAGATTGGATTAGTTGTAAAGTGGGTTTTCATGGCCGGTTAGCTCAGTTGGTTAGAGCGTGGTGCTAATAACGCCAAGGTCGCGGGTTCGATCCCCGTACGGGCCAAGCTGCTTTTGAAGCTCCCTTCACAGCAACACCTTACTTCTGACTACAGTGTCAGTCTCATAAACTAAGGCAGAATACAACAAATTCACCTTGTGGCCACCACACGTTATTGATAATTCTTTTTAAAAGCTAGTCAGTTTGTAAAACATCATTTGAGTAGATGTCTACCAGTTAGGAAGCCATGTGTGTGTGTGTGTGTGTTACTCACGCTTTTGTCTCCGACTCTCTGCAGGGCGTCACCCAGGTGGAAAAAAAAACGCCCATCATCCGTGCCTGGTTCACCAGACTCCAAACCCTCCTGGGGAGAGACAGAGAGGGTTAAAGGGGTTGAGGGTTAAAACACACAGCAACACAACATTAAAATAAATTCAAAGTCCAACTAAAACTCACACCAATGAGGCTGTGTATGAAGTATGAAGTACATGTACAAACATTTACATATGTGTGTGTGTGTCTGCTTACCCTCAGGTATGGTATACTCTCCGCTATCTTGTTCTCTGACTTCAGGATGAAACCATAGTGAACTTTAGCAAAGCCATCGCCGGGGGCAACCGCCAGAACCTGTGGGCGAGAGGTCAGACAGCCAATCACAGACAAAGAGAAAGGCAGCGGAGGCCTTTACCAGCAGGACACCACTTCAACATTAACGGGTGTGTTTGGTAAAGCTGTCAGCATACACACACCTCTTCGTAGACTTTTTTGGCGCCCTTGTTGTCTCCTAGCAACAGGTGGGCGACGCCCAGTTCATTCTTCAGACTGATGTCTTCTGGAAAGATCTGAGTCAACTTCTCCAGAGTCGCCAGAGACCCCCGCACCCGACCTGAGACAGAGAGAAAACCATTTACGAGCAAATTCAGCCTTTAGCGTTTCAGTCGCAAGATTTGAACATCAGCGGATCTCCTGTTGTACAGTCTTCGTCAAATATCATAGGATATTACATTATACTATAAATTATGAGTGTGTTTCCCGCAACGCTACAGAATCCTAACCTCACAGAAACTCTACAAAACGGCTTCTTTCAAATTTGTGGCATATGTGGCATTCTGGGGACCAATCAGCTTTTAGGGTAACTTCCCTGTAGAGTGGAGTCTCCTCCCAAATCAAGAACTCAAGAACAACATTTGAAAATTGGTTTGAAGCCACAACCTATCACCTTCCGCTGTGGATGAGTGAAAACCTATTTCTGTGGCCGGTTAGCTCAGTTGGTTAGAGCGTGGTGCTAATAACGCCAAGGTCGCGGGTTCAATCCCCGTACGGGCCAAATTGTTTTTGAGTTCAAACTCACTGACAGTCATTTGAATCCCAACACTCAAAGGCTCCATATGCACCAAATTCTCCCATGATGACAGACATAGCTTAAAAGCCAGTAAAATTAAAGGTTCAATATGTGCGTTTTAGTGGTATCTATGATGGCTGCTGTATAATGCAAACTTTTCTGTCTCCTTACTGAGAACACTTTTTGTATTTCGACACTTTGTCGGACATAGCAACCGTAACAAAGGGGGGCGTGGCTTAGTGAAGGGTCAATGAATGCCAGCATATTGTGGCCGGTTAGCTCAGTTGGTTAGAGCGTGGTGCTAATAACGCCAAGGTCGCGGGTTCGATCCCCGTACGGGCCAAGCAGTTCTTTAATCGTCACTCAGCTTTTTAACACAGTGAAGTTTTGAGTCCACTCAATGAACTTAGCAAATGTTGAGTGAAAAGGCAAACAACTATCTAACATCCTGCTGTTTCTGGTGTCTTTTTTTCTCATGTGACGGGATTCATTTCAGACTTGAGTTTGTGCGAAAGTGTTACAGGTCCAATCTAGTTTTTGTTTTGCTGAACTCACGGGTTTCTTCAGACATGAAAACATGTTAAATTAGCTTCAAATTTGCATGTCTGAAAGAATCTTATGTAGCTAACTTAGCAGCAGTGTATCTAGCTGTAGTAGCTGTGTTACCCAGGAACTGCTGCCTCTCAGCTCGTCTCTTCAGCGTGGCTCTCAGTAGGTCAGAGGTCACATCAGGAAGCTCAGCGGCCTCTCTGTAGGTGTTGATGGCTCTCTGCAGCATGTCGTTACTACGCAGCTTCTCAGCCAGGTCGTCCTCCGTCTGTCAACATATTATTGTAGCATTTTGACACAACATCAGTGCAGTGCCAGTTCACTGTACCTCAGTAATGTGCAGTAGTACTGTAGTACCTGGGCTTTTCCATAGCGAGCGCGGGGGCTCTGTGGATGCTGCTGCACTAGCGTCTCAAACGCTCTCAACGCCTCCTCAAACTTACCCTGACAGAAACAGAGGACTGATATATATTAACACATTAATGACAAAATAAATCCATCAACTCTAGACATCCACGTCATCATTTTAGCTCAAAGACAATATCATACTAGTACAGCATTATGTCACCGTTAAAAAGACTTTGTCCACAGAGGATCAAAGGAATAAGACACTTATACTGAACATCAAATACAGGAAAATAAATATTCCAAGTGTTCCCTATGCTGTCTGGTAGCAATATAAGCTAAATGTCTGTATGCTAAATGTGTCTTTGCAGGAGAGCAGACAGGCGTCTGTGTCACGTCTGTACCTTCTTGCGAAGCTTTTCTGCAGCATCGATTTCTGCTTTTATGGTTTTATCAAATTTATTTAACAATTTTGGCTTCTTCTTCTTTGCTGGAGGAGAGAGAAGACAAGAAATCAGAGAAACGAAATGCCACAAATATACATGGTTCACATGTCTACATTAAATCGTTACTTCAGTTTTTACCTTTTTCTTTGGGCTTCTCCTCAGCCTGTTTGCCTGTAGTTTCTGTGACACAGGAGAGAAGACGGACTTTGAAATTGGACAGAAATTGGCAGAAACACTGGCCAGTTAACTCAGATGGTTAGAGTGTGGTGCTAATAACACCAAGGACGCGGGTTCGATCCCCGTACGGGCCAAACAGCTTTGAGTTAGAACTCACTGACAGTCATTTGCATGCGAGCGCAGAGAGGCTCAATGCATGTTTCTCCCATGAAGATGAAGCTCTGTACAAATTACAGTCAAGTTTTTCGTTTCACAGAAACGAAATGCCACAAATATGCATGTTTCGCCTGTCAAAATTAAATCATTACTTAAGTTTTTACCTTTTTCATTGGGCTTCTCCTCGGCCTGTTTGCCCGTTGTTTCTGTGACACAGGAGAGAAGACGGACTTCAGCATTTAATACTCACCACGTTCAAAGAATTTGGTTTGGCAGCATCAGTGAAAAGAAAAAGGAGGCTTTTTTAAAATGTGTGTTTAGACAGTACTTTATTGTTTGGCGCCTAATGAAAGAACATAGCCAGTGTACCAACTTTAAAATTAGACTGAGCACGCAGATTTACATAAAAACCATATTCACTTCTACGGTTTTCAGCTGAGACGAGGACTCTCATTTAGAGGAGCTGCTTCACTGAATCTGTTTTAGCCTTCTATATTGCTGCCTGGTTTTTTAATCTGTCCAGTAACAACAGACTTGGTAGTCTTGTTAAATTGGCCAGAAATCTCTCAGGAGTCTTGCCAAGCGTTCAGACATTTTTAACAGGCAGGTCTTTAGGAGGGCTAATGTTATACTGGACTGCCAGGACCATCCACTCCTGAGGCAGTTTGAGCTAATGCTGTCTGGCCACCGTTTCAAGACTTCTGTCTGCAGGACTAAAAGACTCCATGTTTCCTTCATCCCAAGTGCCCTTGCTATGCTTAATGGCAGATAGCTCTCAGATACAATGGCTTGAATATATCACACAATATAAAACACATCTGTACATTTTGCTCCAGTGTAAGTTCTTTGACTTATTATGTGGATGCCACAGCCCTCCTTTTCCCAAAAGAAGCCAAAGTATAAATTATAAACCCTGAAGGTAAAATGTGGTTTAACTGTCATCTCACAACTGGCCACTAGATGGTGGTGTTTTACTGCTGCTGACAGACGGGCTTGTGTGTGCAGCAGTTTGTTAATAAGGTCTCTGTAGATCTTAGGTACAGATTTGTTGCCCTTGCTTGCTCACAATTCATCATCAATCATATATATAATTTACTTTATGTACTTTTATTCATCTTAAATGTGGTATTATAGTGTCCACTATGCGTTCCCTGTGTTTTTGCAATAATGAACATCTGTGAAAGCGTTTGGTTTTAGACTTGAAAACTGTTGAATGTTTTAGTTCTGTTTTAGTCCTCTCTATTTATACAATGACAAGATGTTTATGTGGCCAGTTAGTTCAGTTGGTTAGAGCGTGGTGCTAATAACGCCAAGGTCGCGGGTTCGATCCCCGTACGGGCCACACAATTTTCATGTCAACATCAAGCAGCAAGATTACAAGTATTGAGAAAATCAAACAGTTCACACAAGAAGGAACAGACAGTGTGTCCCCCAGCTGTCATCTCAAAGCCACCACAGGCCGTCAGCGTTTGATTCCTATATCACAACAGTGTTTTATTATATTTTCATGCATTATCCCGTGAACCTTTGCTTGGATGCCTACAGGAGGAGTTATTAACAAGTTGTTTTTTAAAATTTTTTAATAGTGTAAAGCTAGAACAATTAATCAATTAAGCGATTAGTTGTCAACTATTAAATTTATTGCTGACTGTTTTGATAATCTGGTTCCAGCTTCTTAAATGTGAATATTTTCTGGTTTCCTCTCCTCTACGACAGTAAACTGAACATCTTTGGGACATTTGAGGACGTCATCTAGGGTTTTGGGAAACACTGATCAACATTTTTCATAATTTTCTGAACCAAATAACTGATCAATTAATCAAGAAAATGACCAACAGATAAATAAAAAAGAAAATAATCGTTAGTTGCAGCTCTAACATGCTTATTAATGCTGAATACAGGGACTCAAGAATACACACTTTAATACCCCCAACTAAAAGTGTACTGTAAACTTGATTTGGTGCTACTGTTTGTCTGCAAAGTAGAAGACTAAGCCGCAGACTGTGGGAAGAAGAAAATTACTCACATATGTAACACATATGCATTTTGCGCTGAAAAGCAGGAAAAGCAGTCTTTAGGGTGCAAAAAAAGTCTCAGTACAAAACATCACCACTAAACTGAGGGCAGAAGGATTGTGACGTTAAACTCCAAACAAACGTTTGCACTGATAATTAAATATTAACGTATCCAAAAAAGTTATTTGCATGTGTGGTTTATGTTCAGGTCAGTTAATGTGTGCGTGTGTGTGCGCTCACCCTCTGGACTGCGCTCTGTCTCTATGGGGGTTTCACTCTGTGGTTCTGGTTCTGCTGGTGGTTCAGACAAGTTCTCTGACAGGGGATGAACAATACTTCAGTGTTTATGAAGTTCCATGACTCTGGTTCCAGGACAGAAAACGTTCTTTCTTCCATGTTTGCTGATGTTGTTTTTTGGTTTGCGTTTTCCAGAAAACAACCATCTTCTAAATTCCTCTAAAGTGACTCATTAACATTCACTGATCATATTCTCTGTCTGGAATACACTCCTCAAAATCCAAAGATATTTCAGGAAATTATGATCCCTAATAGAGTGGAAAAACTCAGCGGGATGCTGGCCACAAACACAAAACACAGTAGAAAACACATCACCAACTTCATCCATATAAAAGAAAAACAATCTTCTCCATTTAGCAGTAGTGTGTTCAGAAAAAGCAGCATTTCCTGAACTGTATTTCAGACCAGTGTAAAGAATGACCCATATTTAAGACTCTAAATTCAGACACTTCCTACCTGCTTCCTGAGTGAATTTGGAGCTTGTCAAGTGTTGTCTGGACTCCTCTGCAGAACAAATAGAAAAAGCAGAGCAATATTAAGGCTAATGATTCTGACTGGTGTCACTATCACTTCATAACACGCGTTATCAGAGCCACAAAGATCACAAACACTGGTATCAGAGCTGCATAAGATTATAGCCAGAGGCGTGAAACAACTCCTATCTCTTTTTTACAACACTATTAGTACTTTGATTTATCTGCCTGTGAGAAAAAAAACTACTACCTGCACTTTCTATTTGTTCCCTTCCTTCCTTCAACCTGCATTTAAGTCAGTGGTTCTCAAACTTTTTGTGTCATGACCCCCTTTCAAAAAGCCGAAAAAAGTTCATGCCCCAACAATACACATAAACGGATTGAATTTTAATCAATCATTAACAATACTGGGAGAGCAACAAACAAAAAAGAAGCCAAGTTAAATTTGATTGAAGTAAAATAAATGATTCAGGTCAGCAGGACAGAATCAGCAAAGTGTTATTATTTTGTTTCCCTACATAGTTTCCCTTATTGCCACTCCATATTTTTCCCCTGGTCATATTAATTGAATATTTCAACCTTTTGGAAAATCTACTTTTTTGAGTATTGATACTACTCTCATGTCTGCACGATCAATATGAAGCTACAGCCAGCTTAGTTAAAAGACTGGAAACAGCTTGCCAGGCTGTCCAAAAGGTAACGAGTTCCACCTACCAGAACCTCTAAGCTTACTAATTAACACATTATATCTCGTTTGTTTAACCTGTACAAACGATAAGCTGTGTGCAGTGATTTCCTTCTGGTTGCTTCCTCACAGTGACAATACTCAAGAAGCAGAAATAGTCTAGCGGTTAATCCCCCTTGTAAAAGTGCAAATCGTCTCATCTGACTCTTGCTTAGAAAGCAGATAAGTGTATTTCATGAAGTGAGTTTTTACGCCCGACGGTGCGTCTGACTCACCTACACTCTCCTCCGGCGGACGCTCCTCCACCAGAGCTGCAACACAGAAACAAGCTCAGTGTTTATCTACAGCTTTACTGCTTCATACCAACAGAAGAAAAGCCTGATCAGCGACTTCTAACGTCAGTATCACTTAATCTTCAGTCAGCTGTTAACACCAGCACTTCTCTTGTGCTTAGGTACTACTACAGGCTTTACTACAGGCTGGTACTATGTCCGCTACTTCTTCTACTACAGCTAATGCATGACATGTCCTCCCAGAGTCAACTATCTCACCTCCTGTTGTGTCTATGGTGTCGGCTTGATCCTCTGAAATAAGGAGACAAGCAGAAGCAAATTATTATGAAAACTACGAACATTTAGTAAAAACAAAGAAACAAGAGACTTTACTCACCATAAGGATGCATGCTGTCTCGAGGATCATCTGTAACCCACACAAACATGTAGACGTATTAATTAACAGATTATCACACTCTCATAACAGTTTAATTAATGAATGAAAGGCAGAGTCCTCGGGAATACTGCGGTTCAAAAACTAAATCTGAAACAGATAAATTATGTAATATCATAATCACATCTTTTAAAAAACAGCAGTTAAAGTTTGATAAAAAGACTTGAGATGCGGCAGGCTGCAGGGGGGTGTTCAGATATTTTCCTTCAGTAAAAGTAGCTGTACCACAGTGTAGTGCATTCAAAATCAAAATAAGTAAAAGTACACAAAAGTACCAACAGTGAAAGTAAATATTGGCCCGTTTTGGAATAACATGTATTTTATCACTGGATTATAATAGTGATGCATTAATTTTTTTTTTAGTCTTCTTCTTGCAGTGTTTTATCCAATATGTTGTGTTCGTTACTTGTTGTTATACATTGTACCCGTTGTTCTGTAAATATCGCTTTTACATGCTGTCTGCAGTAAGTCATTTTATTTAATTTTAATTGTTTATTTATTTTATGATGCATTTTCAATAACTGGCCTGTGACAACAGATTAAAATTAGCCTGTTGAGCTAACTCTGCTAACTTTGCTGTTGATTAATAAGCACTGTCTTCAAATAAACAAAAACATAAAATATTTAATGAAAATTAACTACTTTATTTACTGCTGGCGAGCTTAATCCATATTAATCCATTATAATTTATTAGTTGTATTTATAATCTGAATCTGCAAAGTAACTAGTAACTGATGTTGTCAAATAAATGCAGTAATTGGAGTAAAAAGTAACCATCTCTGTTCCCTTTGAACACAACTCCTGATTTAACCATCATCTTCATCATCATTAGCGGTACTTCCAACAATAAAGGGACTGTTTAACCAACCTGGCACAAAGTCAACTTCCACCACCGGAGGGAGAGGGACGGCAGCTGGAGATACCAAAACACACAGGTTAAAACACAGACACACACACAGGCGCGCACACACACACACGTAATGATAGTTAGTCCTGCAGCAGATAAACAGGATGTGTGTGAGCAGGTTTTGATGATGTTTCAGACTCTGAGTGAAACAAACTGAGATTTAATGTGATGACGTGACTCCAAACACACGAAGAGGATGAGACTGAAATGTATACTCAACATGCAAAAAGCTTCACAAACACGCTAAGTGCAGCAGCCGCTAAGCCAGAGTGACTGCAGGACCAACCTTGGATTTCAGACTCCACATCGTCAGATCTAGAGACTGGATCAGACACAGACAATGATGTCAGCATGTCAGCTGATCACAGTGAGGCCAGACAGCAGGTAGCGTGCACTCAGACATCACAGGCAAATCATTTAGCACTGACAATGATAAAAAAGATGCTAGGAGTGAAAGTGTCTGCAGTATACACAATACGGCCATAAGTATGAGGACACTGAACATTTCAGACATATGTGACAGTTAAACATGTTCATTTATCTGCTTCTGCTTCCAGAATCGGCAGATGGCGATTATCTCAAAATGCCAGATATCGACACGATTAATTAGTCGACCAATTGATTCACTACTGTGTAGACCAGGTAAGTTCTTCCACACTAATGTGGGAAAACCAGAAAGGGCACAAGAAGCACACTGCTGTCTAAACATCTAAATTATCGCTGTGTGTGCTGTAGCATTAAAATGTCCCTTCATGCACACTGGAACTACGGGGCCGAGACCAAAGCTACAGTAAAGGTATGTGCACAGGGGGTGTCCACATACATTTGGCCATATTGTTTGTGATACTTAAGAACAGGCAAATAATCTGAAGCACAAAAAAGAAAGAAAAAAGCAGCATCAGAGCAGCTCACATACATTCAGAGGCATCTAAATACAGAATTTAGCTGCTTCTCTTCTGCGTAATCAGAGAGAACAAACAGAGGAAACACTGATTATCTATGTTGACTATGAATACAGATATAAAAAGAGAGCTTCATGGATCCGCAGACTGATCTTCTTATTCCCTCATTGTTAGAGGTCATGTTACAAACCACATACCTTCATCTTCTTGGACAGGTGAGGGGCCGCTGTCTGAAACTGACAAATTAAACAGTTTCAATTCAAGAAATCAGCAACTAGCGGTAACTGTACGTAGTGAATAATGTTGTTGTGATTAAAATTAGGAATAAATGTGTGCGATGGAACAGATCAGATTGTGTTGTTGTTCAATTGTGTTTTTCTTCCCATAAAGATGTTAACAGCCAACAAATTCAGAACAACAGTATTATTAGTGCACCATTAAACTGTCTGTCTGTCAGTGTAAACAGTAGAGTAGATGGACACTTCATTGGATTAGAGTGATAGCTACACATTATTACGGAAATGATTAATCAATATTCAAATGCAACGGATGGACATAGATTAATTCTTACTCCATTACAAATTCTTAATAAATAAATTCTTTCATTAACTCTTTCACAGCATTTATTGAGTTTTATTTCTTAATTTATAGAAAGCAAAAAAGTAAACTGCCTTACTTATAAGAATATAAATTCAAATGCACACACCTGATGCAGCCTCCTCGGTTGGGGTTTCAGGCGATCGGGCCTCTGTTGGCCCCGCCCCCTGTGGCTCTGCAGCTTGCTGATTGGCTGGTTCGAACAAAGCCTTGCTGGTTTCTTTGGTTTTTACCACTTAGAAGATGAAGGACACCACAGAGACAAGATAGGTATAAATAAGTATGATATCTTTCATTGGCACGATGAGATGTAGAAAATGTCATAATTTCCCCAAAACTACAATTTAGTTTTCAAGAAAAATCATCAAATCCTCAATTTTTGAGAAGGTGGAACCAATGAATGTTGAATGTTGGTTGTCGAAGTGTTGCTGCATCAGTCAGTCAGCCCGCCATTAAGCCCCAAACAGCAACACACCTTCAAAATTGTTGATTATAATTCAGTTTCTTGACTAATAGTTTTAGCACCTTGATGGCAGCTGTTACAGGTTGAAACCAGACTGAGAATTTTGGGGTAGGAAATGACTTTTTGTCAAATTAAAAGGTTAAATGAGACATGTGCAACATGCATCATGTAGAGCAGAGGTATGCAACAATTGCTGAGTGTCTGTGGGATCAAATAACCATTATCCCATAGGCATCCAGGAATTGAGTGAAACTAAACAAGTAAACTAAGGGGGATGGGTTTTTTTCCCTGAGGGTCTCATTTATATGCGTAGAATCCTCACTAAAAGTGTATGTGTGCCCAAAAGCCAAAAATATTCAGACTAATAAAACCGTGCGTACGCACATTTGTAAGCAAGTTCCCTTTATAAATCACAAACAACTTGAAATGTGGCGTATGTGAAGGAGCACCATGTCCGAGCCTTCAAACAGCCATAGTTGCCTATAAATGGTCGGTGAAACGCCGCTCATTAATATTCATACACACTGACTGCAGGAAGAAAAGGAGGCAAATTCTGACAGAAAATCTACAAAACTAAATTTAACTCAGTGCGACACTGACGTTCCTTTTGGTGAAGCTGAAGTTATTTGGTAGGTAAAAAAACGCACTTTTACGCAACGCTTGTGCACCGGAGCTCCACCCCTTTATAACTGAACTGCAGGAAGGGGCATCCCTCCTGAGTTGTGACGTCACTGGCTGGGGGAGGGCACACACACGCAAAACGGGATGACCCAGGCACTAATTTGGATCCCCCCCATTAAACCAAATACATCCCTCTTGTGTTTAAACATTTATTTAGGCTACACAACAGTCCACTCACTTAACAACGATGGCGATGAGTTAAAAGAAATATGACTTGTTGTAGGCTAAATGACATAAGCTTAAAGATATACTTAATAAAATCCAAACAAAGTTTTTACAAGCAGCGCATCACATTCACTTGCTGGCGCACAGTGTTTGGCTCAATAAGGCAACGAACATGTGATAACAACATGAAACTATGCTCTCGTATTTGCTCGACTGACGCATTGAAAACGGCATTAATTTAAATGTAAATTGTCCTCCTTTTTATGGGAATAAATTGCACTGCATGCAAGTTTTAATTAATATGATTCCTGATTCATTTTGCAGAAACAGATTTCTCCGTTTGTGTTTATTATCCTGAATCTGGATCTTTTTGTGCGCTGCAAATGATCTTAAATTATAGGGCTTTTTTTGTGCACTTTAGAGAAAGTCAATCAAACGGGTGTTTGTTTATTCAGAAAGCCTTTAAGCCTATAAATATTCAGAGGTAATATTTTTATTTTAATATATTTTATTTTACACAGCAGTATGCCTCTTCATTTCAAACATTTCACTTCATCCTTCTGCCATGTGAGTCGCTGTTTCTCATTTCTCTACTTTATGTGCGTACTCATGGTTCAGAGTTACTTACAGGACCACACATTCTCCGGTCAACTTTGTTTTTTATAGATCACAACCTGTGCTTGGGAAGTGGCTACGCCCTGTTTTGTTCCTACGCACAGTTTTATAAATGAGACCCCAGAACTGGTTTCATTTCTAGCGCGGGTGACTGTTTGTAAATAAAGTGTGCAGGAAGGAATCACGACTTTAATGCCACGACCTGAATAAGACCCAGTATGAGTCGCATCAGGTCTGCTTTCTTCTTTTGTGTTTCTTTATTTTAAAGACTTAAAATGATTTTAACTACATCCTTGTATCGGTGTGTGTACCTGAAGCTAGCACAGAGGCTTCCCTTTTTCTGTCACCGAGTGTGCAGCCTTGTGCCTCTCTCAACAGGATACAGAGAGAGCCAAAGAGAAAGGATCTTCGCACTGGCACACTGGTTGAGCTGGGCAGCTGAAATTGAAGCCGGGTGGAGCTGATATAAAGCCTCAGTTTGTTTGTGACCCAGGCTTTGTTGGTGTAACACAGTTTTTCGTCGTGTCTGATACGGAGCTGGGATCAGAGTTAGTTCAGTAGAGGTCAGGCGAGGCAGGCAACACGCCTGAATTCACAGGTGGGAACAAGGCGAAACACCTACTGGGTGGTTTTCTCAGAGTATCATGTCAGTGTCGGCTCGTATGTCGGGGAGACAACAGACAGCAGAGGATCTGTGTGTGTGTGTGTGTGTGTGTGTGTGTGTGTGTGTGTGTGTGTGTGTGTGTGTGTGTGTGTGTGTCCTCACCTGTTTTCTGATCAGGTGAAATTTTCACATCTGGTCTCTCTTTCAGCCCTGTTCAGTGGTTAGAAATTCAAGAGCAAAAAATCAGAAACATTTTCCCACATACACATTTCGGAGAGCTGTCTATATCATTGTTGCCGCTGTTCCTACTCTCTCTGGTCACCAGGGATGAGTATCGCTTGAAATTTATAAATATTGGTGCCAATGGAGAGGAAACAATCCTGAAACATTTCACTCAACCTGATAATTATGAGGCCATCCCTGATTTGTGAGGAAACTTAACTGCTAAATTGACCCTGGGGCTTCATGTAAAAGTAAAGAAGTGAAGGAAAGAGCTGATAAAGACGTCTCTCTCACTGAGTTGTGAGTATGTGGGTTTATCAGGAAGACAGAAAAAACTGTTTGAGAAGGAAAATAACAATGTGCAAAAATAATTCATAACTGATGTTGGTTTACAGTTCAGTTACTACACCTTAAAGAAAACAGCAGGTGTTCAAATTCAATCAATTCATCGACATTTAAATTTCTCAATTCAGGGAGGAGAATAAAACTTTAAACCTCCACACAGCCAGCAGTGAGGAGGTCAGGAGTTAAAGTGACGCTAATAGTCCCTGGAAAGGAAACAAGAGCTGACAAGAAAAGAGAACAGAGTGTGAGATCGAACAGAGGAGGAAGTTGTGGTGGAGGGAGATAGACTGAATAGAGGAAAGAGGACGTGATGTTCATTACTCCTTCTCAGCACCGCTCCAACGACATTTTAAACCGGGGAACGCACTTTAAAAAGGGTTTGCATGTGGGGCTGCTTTAGGTTACGACCTCGATACTTCAAATACACCAAGAAGGAAGACAAACGTATCTCAATTTGAAAACCAAGATTTATTTATCAAAGATGTTCTCACATTTTGATGGAAAAGCTACTTTGTTTTAGAGCTGGTTCAATGCACTTTGTAATAAACAGCCCCCAACACTCTTGAACTCAGCATCGTTCAGCCCAGCTCTAATGCGTATAAGATGCACTACATGACTGACATTTAGTCACTTAATTAAATAAATAAAACTCCTATAAAAACCATCAACAGGCCAAGATCAGAGCCAGAGGGGGCAGAACAGAGGAGGTACCACACATTTCTGCGTACAAGGAACTGACACATAAATCTGAGTTAAAGACAATATCATAAAAACGAAAAAGAAAGAAAAAAAAAAAACACTGCAACAAAAACATACAGTACATCTCAAGTATGGCTCTTTAGTTAAGTTAATCTTTAAGTGGCCTCTTAACTTGACCCCTGAGTTCCTTTTCAACACTGATGAGGTTGTTAATAACAAACACACTTACTTATTTTAACATCTAAATGCATATACGGTGTCTGTGTCCTCTAAGATGACACTTCCTCCACAGCTTCAAACTATATCACGGACTGATGGGAACGTAGTGAATACAACCGAAAACGTCTGCCTCGAACAGTCAGTGCTCCTTAATTATATCTGTATTTTTAAATTTGGCATTAATCTTTTTTTTTTCCCCCATGCAGTTAAAGTTAATGCAGACTGTTTGGACCAGGGTGCTCAAAGACGGCAGGTTTCATAACATTTCCAAACCTCTCAGATTCGATTCCCGACAGGACAGAGAACAAACGAGACTTTACTAAATGATTGATCAGGCCACAGCCGAATCTGGATGCTAACATCAGGCGTGGACATTTTGTAAGAAATTCTTATTCACACAGGTATCATAAGATAAGACAACGGGGCTGAGTCACTTCTGCTCCTCAGAGTCACATGTTTATTTCACCAAAATCAAAAGTCAGAACTAAAATCTAAACATTTCTACAGATACATCAACCCAACAAAGAGGAGGAAGTGGACAGAGAGACTGTTTAGAAGAGAGTATTTATGTTTACACTCTTCACTTTTTAACCTGCCTTTTTAACATTTCAAGATTTCTACTGAGTATCAGAACAATTTCTACTGAGTATCAGAACAATTTCTACTGAGTATCAGAACAACGTGGTAAGAATAAATAACTGTATTACTGGTTAAAGAGCCGGACTGATAAATTGGTTTTCTGATATCAACAGCAGATAAATCAGTATAACAGCTGATGAACGACAGTTGAAAAGAAAAGACGGTCTTTTTTTATTTATACATGTTCGTTATTCATTCAACGTGCAATATATCTTGTTGTACTTTTGTCCAAAGTACTATTTCTAACAATAAATAAAGTTGCATCATGTTACCTCGGTGTTTCTGAAAAGAAGGGGGGGAAAAAAAATAATATCGATCGATATGTCGGATTATAAAATCCGACAGATTTTAAAATCTGTATCGGTCTTAAACATCCCATATCGGTCTGCCTCTCGTCGTTAACGAGGGACATTAGCTAATGTCATCAGGAAGCTACACTAGGTGAGCACAGCTATTTCTGCAAATACAAAAATAGTTTACTAACCACGATGTTTACAGTTGAGAGGATGATGTCGGTCTCTAAAAATGAGCCAGGTCTGCGGTGTGAGAAATAAAACAAAATAATTGCCACCCTGTCCCTTACGAAGACCTTTATTGTTCACACATTATTTTCTTCAGAATATTTAGTTAATAGCAAATATTTTATGCGATTAAAGCAAGAAAACCTTCTGCTGTGAAGTAAAATGAACTGTCCACTAAACTTTCCTTATTCTGTGAAGTGAAGATTCAGCTGCTCAGTCACGGAAGATTTTACACGTCATTTATCATCGTCGCAGAGGAAGAAACTCTCCTCTTCCTCACTTCTTTTAACCCTTCAGCCAATCAGAGCTCTAGCACCATTAATGAGATAGTAACTTCAGGCCGCGGTGTCATTTCTTCGTCCCGCCCCCGCTCTTCTCCCTCCTGACGGCCGACACGCTCGCTCTGCCACTTTTCTGCTCTGCTGTCTGCGCTTTCGGCTGGGAAGCGTTAGGTTTTCTCTCGAGAGGCTCTAGTTTCTTCATTTCTACCTTCACGGCGATGCGTTCTCTCTCCGCTCTCTCCTTCGCCAGCTTCTCCGCCTCGATCTTATCCCGAACAGCCTTCTCCCTGGCGAGCCTCTGTCTCTCCATCAGCTCCTTCTCTCGAGCCGCTCTCTCCTTCGCAGCCCTCTCATGCACCAGCTTTTCCCTCGCTGCCTTCTCGTTCTCCAGCCTTTGCTTCTCTAGTCTCACCTGTTCGATTCTCTCCTTCTCCCGGGCGATTCTCTCCCTTTCCTTCGCAATTCGTTCTTTCTCTAATCTCTCTTTCTCCTGAGCTTGTCTTGCCCTCTCCCTGGCGAGGCGCTCCCTCTCCATCTTTTCCCTCTCTTCCTTCTCTCTTGCAGCTCGCTCCATCCTTTCCTTTTCCCTAGCTAGTCTCTCTGTTTCTAGTCTTTCCTTTTCTGCTCTCTCTTTTTCCCTGGCAATTCTTTCTCTTTCCTTAGCTATACGTTCTCTCTCTATCCTTTCTTTTTCTGCTCTTTCTTTGGCCAGTCGCTCTTTCTCTAGCCTCTCCTTTTCGGCTCTCTCTCTCTCCATCCTCTCCTTCTCCCTTGCAATTCTCTCTCTTTCCTTGGCTTCCCTCTCCAGTCTTTCTTTTTCTGCTTTCTCTTTGGCAATCCATTCTTTCTCAAGTCTCTCCTTCTCCAACTGTTCCTGTTCTGCCTTCTCTCTCTCCACCCTCTTCTTCTCTCTGGCTATTCTCTCTCTTTCTTTTGCGATGCGCTCCCTTTCTATCCTCTCCTTTTCAGCCCTCTCTCTTTCCAGTCTTTCTTTCTCCTGTTGTTCCCTCTCCGCCTTTTCTTTGGCTGCTCTCTGTCGTTCAATAGCCAGGCGATCTCTCTCCATCTTTTCCTTCTCTGCCCTCTCTCTCTCCAGTCGTTCCCTCTCTTCTTTGGCCAATCTGTCTTTTTCTGCCTTCACTCGAGCCAACCTCTCTTTCTCAGCTTTCTCGTTTTCTGCTTTCTCCTTTTGAATTCTTTCCTTCTCTATCCTTTCCTTCTCCGCCTTCTCCTTTTCAATCCTCTCCTTCTCCGCCTTCTCCTTTTCAATCCTCTCCTTCTCCGCCTTCTCCTTTTCAATCCTCTCTTTCTCCATCTTCTCCTTTTCAATCCTCTCTTTCTCCATCTTCTCCTTTTCCGCCTTCTCCTTCTCCGCTTTCTCCTTTTCTATCCTTTCCTTTTCAATCCTCTCTTTCTCTGCCTTCTCCTTTTCCGCCTTCTCCTTTTCTATCCTTTCCTTTTCAATCCTCTCTTTCTCCTCCTTTTCCTTCTTCTCCTTTTCCGCCTTCTCCTTCTCCGCCTTCTCCTTTTCTATCCTTTCCTTTTCAATCCTCTCTTTCTCCTCCTTCTCCGCCTTCTCCTTTTCTATCCTTTCCTTTTCAATCCTCTCTTTCTCCTCCTTTTCCGCCTTCTCCTTTTCCATCCTTTCCTTCTCAGCCTTCTCTATTTCCATCTTCTCCTTCTCTATCCTCTCTGCCTGCCTCCTCCTCTCCTCCCTCAGTTGCTCCTGGGCAGCCTCCAGCGCCTTCGTCTTCAGCGCCCAGGCCGCCTCCCTCTCCTCCTCTTCTTCAGCGAGGAAGGCCCTGATCTCGGCTAGAGCGATGCGAGCAATCCTCTTGGCCTCCATCTTCTCGTGGATCAGCCTCAGCTCCTCCCTCAGGGCGGAGCGCAGCCTGACACCTCTGGCAGGACGGTCTGAGGTTTGGGTTTAAGGAGGCTCTTTAACCACAGCGTAATCGAAGAGTTGCATTCACAAACTTTAATCAAACACACCGTTCACCGACGACAACGACTTGTTAAATGTTGTAACGCAAAGCAACCAAGGAAGTGTTAAAAGGATGTGACATCACTGTCAGGGGGGCATGACATCATCACACAGTACATGCGAGAACTTAATCTGTTATGATACAGCACACCAAAAAGAAAAGTCAATAAAAAACCTAATGTTATCAGAATCTTTCAGTAAACAAACAAACTTTCATTCAAGCCACTGGACCAAATGAAATGACTGGCTGTGCAATGAAGTACATTTATTTATTTTATTTATATGCATTTAATTTAATAATAACCTTTATTTGTAGAGCACTTATCAAACAAAGTGCTTTTGCAGAGAGACAAAAGACATAAAAATAGGAGTAAAAGAACAAATAGAAGGATATAAATTATAAATGCATACAAATAAATTAAAAGGCCATACAAAACCCAATATTGCCATAACAGTCCTGCTTTTTGATCTGCAACATTGACCACAATGATCTAATTCATGCATAGATATTAAAGTCATTGACACCATGGTATAAAAGTATAGGCAAAATATCTAAAAGTAGACAGATTTAAACTCACAGGATATATCATCATATCACCCACCCCTACAATTTCAGAGTGTTAAATTAAATTAATTATTTATGGGTCTGCAAGGCTTCAACAAAGACAAGACGACATCTGTTTTATCATCCAAATCAGAGTGCATTAGTGCATCACTGGACTTGCAGCTGTTAAACCAAACCCATGCCTTAAAATATCAAGTCCAAAAGAAAAGTCTTTATTTCAGACGGGCGGGCGGCAGGTTGTAGTACCTCGAGTTGTGTTCTTTCTATCAGCAGTCTCCTCTGCTGTCTCGTCTAACACAGAGGAGAACAAACAGCCTTTCAGCTCAGATTCATACACAGAGTTTAACAAAGAGCTCGACGTAACAAAGAGCTTGAGCTAGATATCACACATAAGAGTATTTATTCACACGCTCACGTTGCCTATTTTCTGCTTGACAGACTTCAGTCAATCCATTTGTATAATTCACATAAACAGATGGATATGGGATTAATTAATCAGGCCACACGCAAACCCACACAGAGGGATCACCACTCTACCTTCTGGGAGTTTTATTTCTTCATCAGTGGCCTCTAATGTCTTGACTTCTAGGATCACACACACACACACACACACACCAAACTGGTTGATACTGAAAGTCAACATGCCGAAAACAAAGCAGACTGCTACCAAAACACGCTGGACAGCAAACTCAGTCCAACAACAGACCGCCTACAAACTGAACTATGTCTTCACCACTTCAAACATGACGTCTACAAACTTGAACATGGATCTGCCATATGGGTTTAATGTTCAGTAGAGGTTTGTGTAATCTCATATTCTAATGGCAAAGTCTATTTTAATATCCAACGAAGGTTGAAATCAAGGGCAACTGGACTTGGTTGAAGATACTGGAAGACATTTCGTCCCTCATCCAAAGGACTTCTTCAGTTCAACCTTCGTTGGATAACTATGACCTGGATGACTGAGAATCTTCATAGACACCTCTTTTAATATAGTACATTTTTGTAAATCCAAAACAGAATTATTTACCATTAATGATAAGATGCTTCTTAATACTTTTTCTAATCTAGTGAATGCAAACGTGATGCAAAAACTAAATAAGTAAATCCGATCTTGCCATAAAGCAGACCTGCTGATTCATTTGCAACACTGCCCGCCATGTCTACTACAAGTAGAACACACATTTACTTCCTTCACATCAAAAGACAGAAAAGGAAGCAATTAAAGGGGAACTTTGTGATGTGTTTTTTCACTCATTATGAAGTTTGCTGAACCGCCTGACGAGCCAATGAGGTTTGTGGTGTAGCTGAACTAGCAAATATTATTTAATGCTAAGCTACAAAGTGTACCAAGTGTCATCGCAAATGCCTGGGATGATGAGTCATCTGCACTATTTCTAGTCCTGAAAGATGTGCAGCTTTATGTGTTATGTTTTATTGGCTGGCAAAAACCTGAGCAACGACACTACAAATGCAAAAAGCTTGTTTCTGAATTTTTCTTATTATTATTCTAATATTCCCTCTGCCTGGTTAACATGCACTTTTAGATAGTGAATCATCTGTGATGTTCACACCTGTTGATTGTCTCCCACCCTGCAGAGTCAGACATGCTTTTAGATTGAGTACACGTGGCCCCCGTGGGAACTGAAGGTTAATGCCTCACTCATTTGGTTACACAGGATCGAACAGAGTCGTGCAGTAACTGGGACAGTACCTTTACCTTTCTTCTTCCCCTCTTTCTTGTCCTCTATAAAGTTTAGAAACAGACAGATCTGTTAGGAGAGCTCTTAGCAGAGCACCAGAAAGGGGAAAGTCTGCACAGAGATCAGCATACGTACACAAAAACACACAGTACCTTTTCTCAGCCTGTCTCTCCTGAGAGCAGGATCTTTTAACTTCCTTTCATCTGAACAAACACACAGCGGAGGAAGTTAATGAAAACTACTGGCTGTATGTCTCAGTGTCTCTATTTTAAAGAGAAATAATACAGTTATAATGAGAATAATAAAAAACATTGAGTTTTTCATGACTCGCTCACTTCATTGAGACTTTATATTTTTGACAATACGGCTAAATTAGCGGCTTCATTTCTCGCTAGCAGATTTACCTGTTCACGCTTGATGTTTGTGACCAGTGTAACCTCAAGTGACAAAAGGTTAACTGTTAATATTACTAATGAAAAACATAAGATGTGTCTCCTATTTAGCGATATTTTGGTGCAAATTCCCATCAGGAAACACCTTGTGAGTTTGGACAGGACGTGCATCAGTAAAGACGACTGACTGTCTGTTACCCTGAGCTAAATATAATTAATGCAAATTTACAGCTGCAGTTCATATTATATCATTACAACCAACTGTTGACCTTAAAGTTACATGAAAACTGTCTGCGGTACCGGATGTGTATTTAAATACTCTGAGAATATCATTATGTATTGTAACTGCAGCCTAAAACACACAAATAAGGCCGAGACACCAACATGATCAAACAGGGTAAAAGATGACAGATCAGCCTGCCAACTATACATCACATTTCTAACATCTTCAAACACAAAGCAGAATGTAATGTGAATATTAGTGGTTTACAGGCAGAAAAGTGTAGTATTTGTTAATATAAAGTGAGTAATATTAATATTACAGAGCAGAGAGTAAAATATGACGAGCATCACATCATCCTTAAAACTGGAACCTCTCTTATAACCTGAAGTCCAGATTTATATAAATATCATCGAATACAACCATGGACAGTTAACTCTGTTTTTTATAGTTATCAGCAAAAGAATAGGATTCATTTAATTAACCAGCGACTGGACTAGAAACAGGATCTCCAGCTGAGGCTGTTCACTTGCTATATTTGGTAGAAAGTCTAAATCTACCTGCATTTGTTTGGTAGTTGTTTCCCAAACAATCATAAACCGTGTTCTCCCTGTTCTATCCATTAAAAACACTATGAGGTTTAGGAGAGTGTTCAACATCAGCTGACAGAAAACCAAATACACCAGGGTAGAGAGCCATGTGGGGCCTACACTGCAGGTTGTACCGTCTAACTTCAGATCATATTCTATTTATTTAGTGTGAAGGGGATAAAAAAAAATAAAAAAATAGTAAGATTTCTAATAATTAAATCACATGTATAGGGAAAATAAGAATTTTTGCACTATTAAATGTCAGATTTAAGTTTTCCAAACAGTCCCTGCTTGCAACGGCATCATCACGTGAAGATACTTTAATTATGACAAAGAATAAATTAAGTTATACAAAAACATAAGTTAAGCAACGTGACTAAATGTTCACTGTGACTTATGCATTTTAAACAAGTAGATTTTTACAGAAATGAATGGAAATCAATGGCTAATTTTGAAAAAGGTCAACATTATAGTAAAATATACATCATTTTTTGTTAATAACCTAAAAAATGTGAAGCCACGTTGATGATTATGGTCCTAAAAGATATATTTCAGTGTATTTTGAGTATTTAAATAAATAATGTAGTTTCATTATGTTCATTTTGGGAAACACACACACAAATACCAATATATTTCATAAGCCAGTGCAGACTGATACTATATTATTGGATTTTTCTATCAAACAAACCAACATCTAATACATTTACTGCATTCTTAAATCAACACACGTGTTTTACTTTAAGTCTTGTTGAGTTTTCGTGTTTCTAGCTTCTTTTAAGGACTGTGTGGCCAGTTTGCCCAGTTTGGCCCTGCAGTGGAAACCAGACTGTCCTCCAACAGCTCCTCTGCACCACAACATACACACTCCCATCCTCCTCCACCTGGACTGGGCTACATCCCAGTCTGGTCCTCATTTGTCGGTATTGGGACCAGGGAGCCTTGCTAGTGGCTGTGACTCTGCTTCCTGTCCTCCTATTGGTTCTGGAGGTCCAGTGTGACCTCTTTGACCTCCCCACCATCAGAGGAGGTCGTGCCAACCTCCTCCTGCTTCTCAGCTGCCGCCTCCTTCCCCTCCGCCTTTTCCTTGCCCCGCTCTACAGGCGAGGCCACTACGTCATAAAGGAAGGTGAAGAAGCCATAGATCCAATCAGAGCCCTCCTCAGCTAAAATATTAAGAACCTCCTCAAGCGACTCGGCGTTCGCACTACCATCGCCATCTTTGGTCAAGCCTGACGAAAGAGAGAGAGAGGGAGAGAGAAAGGGAGGGAAGAAGGAAAAAAAAGGCAAGATGGCGAGCAGAGGTGGAGAGGACGAGGGTGAAGCACAAAGAGAGGGGAAGGTGGTGAAGTGGTATTAAAGGACAAGGAGGAGGAGTGAAAGGAGGAGAAGGAAATGTTAAGGATAGAGGAAAGGTTGAAATATAGGAGGCAAGAAGGAAGGATGGAAGGCAGGATGGTACAAAGGAATGGAGAGTGACCGTAACAAAAATAAAGGATGGTGAAGCAGGAAAGAGAAAGATAATGAGTTAAAGAAGTCGCATATGAACCATAGACAACATATAAGCCTTTACTTCCTGTCTCAGTCTCGTCAGGCAATCTGTCACTTCCTGTAGCTTTACAACGAGGAAAAGAGGCGGCCATCTTTGCTCTAATTTCACTGTTCTTCAGTGTCTTTAGTTCACAAAAGACAGACTTTTACAAACATTACATCTGTACAAGTTTCTTCTTCTTATTTAACCCATCCTACTGACTCTACCAGCTGGAGTTTGCAGTCTTTGAGGATTCTGATTTATTGTGTTAACAGTTATTTTTAAAGCTTTACAGGATGATATAGATGACGGCGCGTGATTAAGTATCTGTATGTATGAGAGAAGCAGATGCCAAATCATCTGAACCAAGCAGTAACATAGGTTGGACGTGTTTGTTACAGTACTGTCAGCTGATGCTGGTTTGAAAACATCAGTTACATCCAGACTTGTGGTGCGTTCAAAAACCTCAAGGTAACAATTCGTTGGCAGAATTTCTAGTGATTATAGTTTACTTTCATAGTTTGTTACTACCTCTAACAGGTAAGTTCAGTTGATATTAACAGTATGTATATGTTTGTATTATGTCAGTTTGTATGACCTGGTCCTGAGAGAAATTTTTTTTAAATTGATTCATCTGTATTTTAAAAGGTTAAAATAAACCTGAAGCTAACTAATCACACGCAGTAGATGAAATCTGTAGCTTAAGATCACAGTGGGACTGAGCTTTTTAACCTGTGGCTGTTACAAACCTACTTTGCTCACTGAACATCTCATTAAATTCAATGAGAACATTTTTCCTTGAAACTCTATGAGAAAAGGTAGAGTGCATTGGAAGTTTAGGATATAAATATTATGAATGTGTAATATGAGATTGTTTCTTGAATAGTGATTTGTCCTTCTCCTTCAAGCGCAAATATTTGAAACAAAACCCCCTAACGAATAACACACCGTTAAAAAATATACCATTGACTTGTCTTCGGTTGGGCTTTAAGAAGAAGACCAAACAGCCTTCTTAGTCATGGTGCGGACAGGCGATGACAAATTCATGAGCGTGAGTTGACCCAACAACAAGGCTGGTTTCAGACCCACTGACTCACCTGATCTACCTCACTGGTTTAGTAGGATTCAAACCACAGAGTAAGACTGGTTACTGTGTAAAACTGAGGAACTGTAAACCACATCAGTCAGTTAAAGTAAATTAAAGTGGACTTGCCGAGCAGAACTTTAGCATCTTCCACGTCAAAGTCTCCGTCTCCGTCCGTGTCGTAGGCCGTCAGCTTCCCTGTAGGAGGAGGAGGAGGAGGAGGAGAGGAAGGCTGAGTGACACACATATACTGTAAACCCCAACTTTTAAAGTAATAAAAAAAGTTTGTTTTTTTAAATATGTATATGTACAGCTGGTGAGTATGACGTGAAGATCATTATTAAACTAATAAACTCTTAATTAACAGACCTTACTTTGTGATTTTGTTTTTAATGATGCAGTTGTTTCCTCCAATAACTGTTGATATTTCATTTTTATTGCTTCATCATTTCAAGGTAATGTTTTTTTTTCCTTTTATATTGACATTTTATTGAGTTTTTCAGCATTTTTACTATTATGACACACAATAAAAGAGACAAACTGAAAAGATATCTGATATATAGTGATGTAAATCATGACCTCCTGACCTGAACGGTGTCCATACACAAAATAACCTTTATGCATTCATGGAACTGGAAAGAGCGTTTGGATAAAAAGCTCACTCGGCCGGTTCTAAAGAATTTAAAGCTCTAAAGCTTTATTCTTACTTTGTTTCTCCATTACTGACTGTTAGCTTGCCAGGCTAATGCTGCACACTGGCAGAGAAAGATTAGAAGATTACTAAACCTGGACGGTGCCCAAAGCTTTGCACAGCAAACTGGCTCGGGTAAAGGAAGCAGAGCTATTAATAAAAACCCACAACTTAGCATATGAACAGCAGAAGCATGCCAAAGTGCAAAAAGTATTCATTTAAAACGGTGAAGCTGTGTGAAGAGGAAGGATGCAGTGGAGGATCTGTAACACCTCTCAGCGGTCATGCTGTTCACACATCTTCTGTCATCTTCTGTTTTCTGACTCATCAATCTCCACAATAATCTCCACAAATTCTTATTTCAGAATCTGAAATCTGAAATAATTTAAACTGCTGCTACGTTTGTCTACATTACATTGACTCTTTTAGCTTTTATGCAATGGCTTTATATGTCAGAGGTCGCACGCCTCTGGAGCAACGAGGGGTTAAGTGTCTTGCTCAGGGACACAATGGTGGATGTGGCACAGTGGGGAATCAAACTCAGGTCTCTCACACAGAAGGCAAGTGTCTCATGTGTCTCGTCTACCAGCATGTTGGCAGACAATGAACCATCACATTACTATCCTGAAGCTCTTGATCACTGGTTAACTGTTAGCTTATGACATTTCTTCATCATTTACAACTGGGTTCATGTCTGGAATAATGTCCAGTGGCCTGCAGGAAATGCGTTATGTTTGTAATGACATGGTAAATAAAAAGAAAAAAATAAGTGAGTGTTAAAGCCTTGTGCAGACTACATGACTTTCAGCGTTGGCCGATGGCCGTGCCGTTCGCACTACACAACTTGCCGTCTTGTGACGGGAGTCTTGAAGTCGTTGTGGCGTTGACGCTACGTGACGCTGATCGATGACAGGGGGTCACACACCACACGAGCTGACAGTGTCGCTGTGTCACCCGACGCTGGTCTCAAAACCACAATTTGTCAAGAAAACACACGTTAAATGTGAAACCGGAAATGACGCGAACCTACAGCTGAAACAGCTTTTGGTTGTAGCAGGGATTGTCTGAGCTACAGAGAGATATTTGGCTTGCTAGATATCTGGCAAACATTAGTGATGTGTCGGGGAACCGTTTTGATGTGTCGTGGAGTGGTTCACACATAACAACTGACCGACCGCCGATCAACCGCTGATTTACTCCCGATCACAGGCTAAAAATCGTTTAGTGTGAACTAGGCTTTAGGGTGTTAATGGAAAAAGCACACTACCAGTATAATATTAGTATTACAGTTGAAAGATGTAAACTAGTTTGAGAGCTGCTGCCTAAAACGAGTTTGCTGAATGTGGCAGGAAGTACTTTAGTTTCTGGTTCCAGCAATGGGACAAAAACACAGTAGACAGGTACAGCAGCATGAAACAGATGCTACTAATGATGTTGGCCAGGCTTTATTTACTGTAGAAATAAACAGGAAGAACTGTTCTGAGAGTGCTTTCAGTTCATCATTGAGTTGAGACCTTCTTTACTAATAGATATCTGAATTCTTTCCCCCTCAGTTGTAAGTGTACCTCAACCTACAGCACATTTTCTTACACCATGTTAACTTTTACCTCCACTGTTTTTTTGTTTTTTTTACCTCATCTTATCCTCTTTGACTCATTCTATGCTTTGGAGTGGTTTGGTGACACCATTCGCTCTGATGGAAGCACACAATGTAATATGGAGCTGTAAAAATGTTCAAATCTTGAGACCGTACCTTGTAAAACTTCAGAAAAGTTCATACGAAACTCCTTTGCTCTGGCTGCATGCGGAGATAACACACGGAGAGAGAAGATGAAGAAGAGGGGGAGGGAGGAAGACAGATTACAGCAGCGGGATCTTTACCTCTGTTTGCAGTGAAAGACGACTGAATTGGTGCAAAGCAGTGCAGAATTACAGAGGAGATGCAGGGCTGCATGATGTGTCATTTTAATACGGCAAAAAAATTACATTTAGCCTGCAGCTGCTTTGATTCTAGATGACTGCAGGCACACGTGACTAACATACTTTCCAGCACAGATATTGTCATCTCCCTAACAAGGACAGTTACATGAGAGAAATAACTAGAGCTGGAAGGTCAGTGAACACTTGTGGGGTCAGCTAATGACTCCAAGCTAGACCTTTCCCTGTTAAATCAATTAAGACCCCTAAGAATATTCTTCAACAGATATCATTTCAGTAACAACTGTAAATACCTGACATCTGCAGGATTTCTGCCCTTACATGGGATGATTTGGGCGTTTTCTTACGCTAACGACTGACTGCATCAAATTCAAGAATAATGCTGATTCACAAACATTTGCACGTGTAAGAACTATTCAGTGGTTTGTGGAAAACTTTGTTGTAAAACTTTCTTTTATGTTTTTTCCCAGATCATGCAGCCCTGAAATACCTTATCTACAGAAAGGAGGGGAAACATATCTGTTTAACTTTACAATCATCACAAGTCAGTTATCACTGCGGTCATTATGATAACAGGGAGCTCTACATATACTAGGAAAACAAAAGCATTTAACTGATGTGTGAGAGATGCAGCCATAAAGTCCAAACATGAAGCAGCTTATCAGTCAAATGGGAAATGAGAAGATAAACTTGTGTTATGACGTACAGCAGAGGTGTGTGTGCATGTCTGTCTGAGAGCAAGAGGATGTGAAAGCTGTCACAACCACATGAAGACACGCAGGCTGCTGTGTGAAAACCCACACTTTTGAAACTCTCCGTGCATTGTGTATGTCTGTGTGAGTGTGTGTCTCAGTGTATGTGTGTAAGTGTGTGTGTGTGTGTGTGTGTGTGTGTGAGAACCACATAAAGTCTGATTTCACGTAAGCACAATGCATCCACCAAAAAAAGAAACAAAAACAAATAAAAACTTCTGTATCTCATAATAACCAGAGGACGAGACATATCTTGTAGCTTTCAGATCTTTTCTCATAATCAGAAAAGTAATTGCAACATACATATCTGGTAATTACAATGACACGCAAACTCACCATTAGGAGGTCATCTTCTTTCTTTGGCGAATGCACTGTGCTTCTGTGTGATTTCAACATCTTGGTTTTTAAACAAGCATAAAAACTGTAAACGGAGGCTTGTGAAATAATGAAATATGTTTTTTGGCAAAAGAGTTACACCAAGAAAAAGACAGATTGTGCATTTGCAATTTTAAGCTTTTAATTGTAATTTAAAACCCTTATCCTCAAACGCATCAACTAGTCTGTAAGATTGTAACATCCAATATGTCTGTAATTCTTCTCTTGTATGTTCTAAACATGAGTGGATCTCATGGTTCAGCAGTGAAAAGTTTATGTATTTAAATGTTGCTGTAGATCTTTGAATGCATCATGAATTACAGCAAGTCCAATTTCTTTTGTTACATTAATGGTTTTGTTGCACATTGATTGTGCATTTGTAAATCTGATTCAGTAACACATGTACGTATGTCAGCTGTCAGTTAGCCGTCGTTCTCAAATCCAGGAATTCACACCAGCCTACATTTAGCCTGTGAAGCAGTTGACAGCTTCTCATCCCTGACTGGATAATCTGCACGTCATTTTTACTCTGGATTTATCGAACCACTTAAGTTCTCAGTTAAAATTAGATTAACGTCTTCTCCTGAGCCGATCATGTTTGTTTAAAGGTCACCGCATCTGTATTTCAGCAACATTATAGAAGAAAGAAGAATGTGTTTTGAATGCCACTCTTTCTGTGTTGTCTAAGGTTTGTGATATACTGTATTTGCTCTTTTACAAACATACTGCGTATTTACCTGCATACTGTATGTACTTGTGGGGTTAAAATAAAGTTCCACTAGTAGGAAGATGAGGAACAAATCATCCCTGGCTGAGTGTCTTCTTAAGATGTTCACATTTTGCAAAACATAACTAAACAAGTCAACCGAGGCAGTTTATGCTGTTTTAAAGTAGCAACTACTGTATATCAGCGCTCTTATACGAGGTAAAAAGCTTTGCGAGCACCTGAACCCTGTACTCGCCGCTGTACAGTGCTGCACTCACCTGTGATCACTCCTGATTTCTAAACCCAGTGCTTCTTTCCTAACATAGCACCACATCACCTGATAATCATACTGATCTTACTCACCGATGACGCTGTCGTAGTCCACAATGTCGAAGTAGACCACAGCCACGGAGCTCCAGACTCCCAGCAGGGCCAGGACCACAATCCAGGTAAACATGGAGTACTTTGAACCTCCGCCCACATCTCCTCCTCCTCCTCCTCCTCCTCCCCCCCCCCCTCCTCCTCCTCCTCCTCTCTCCGTCCTCTTTCCATTCTTGCTTTCCACCGGCGGCGTCTTCCCCTCTGAGGACATGAAAATGTTAAAATCATGGATTATGTCTCTTATACCATGGCCACTGTCATTAAAGTATAATCAAATGGTTATGTTATTTTTATCAGTGGGAGCTAACGGGTAATGTAGCATGAGGTATGAGTACTGTTGCTACGCCTGATTCAGAGCATTAGTTAAACGGTGGTCTGGCACTATGTTCGAAGACGTGTCCCGTTATTGTGGTATAACCCACAGCCAGACAACAGCGCATAGTTAGAGGCTCAGAGAGGAGTGTGTTTATGAGAACTAAACACAGGTATGAAAAAGAAAGTGTGTCACTCTGTGTGTGTGTGTGAGTGTGAGTGTGAGTGTGAGTGTGAGAGAGAGAGAGAGAGAGAGAGAGAGAGAGAGAGAGAGAGAGAGAGAGAGAGAGAGAGAGAGAGAGAGAGAGAGAGAGAGAGAGAGAGACACACAGTGAAACCGGTTTGTGTCGTTATTTCAAAACTCACACAAAAGGTCAACAGCATGCAAGTAAGCAAACAAACCCCTGAACTCAAAGACTAGAGCAACGGCATGCAGTTCAATCTGAAAACGTTGCAAACCGGTGCTAAACGTTTTGATATTGAACTCGCCCAGGGTGTTCAGGGGACCACCGTTTCCGTTGAAAAAAAACGTTTTGATACGTTCAATCCGAAAACCTTGCAAAACGTTTTGAGATAGGCCACGCCCCCCTTAGTTACTGTTACTTAGTTCAACAAGCTGTCGGATCTGTCAGACTTTTATCACAGCGCTGCCGCTGTCCATCACTGAAGTCCCTGGAGAAATTTTGTCTAATTTTTGGAAACATTGATCTTAGAAAGCAGAAAACAGTTTTGCAGTTGCATTGGGCATTTGAAGGTTGTATTCAGGCTGTCAAACTGATGAGAAATAAATAAGAACAGAAGCTAAAGCCTGCCGATCACAGAGTAAAAGTGAACCACTGTATTATAATTGACTATTGAGAAAGAGGACAATGATATAAAGGATCAACACTGTCCCTGTACAGCTGGGTAGGTCTCTATCCACTATTACAGTGATTAAAAAACAGAACAGTAGGGCTTTATCACATTACATTCAGTAGTAAGTTAGCTAGCGATAGCTAACTAACATTACATTAGGAGCAGACATTTTTCTGAATTTATTTTAGTATTTAGGATTTAGGAAATAAATCGTACTTCACCTTTCAACCACTCTGGGTAGCAGCTGTAATTATTACAAGTGCCCCACCAACAGTATAAAAAAAGCTAGAAAACGACTCCTTTTGCATTAGAGTCAACGGGGCGCAGCCATGAAAGTGTCGGACCTCAGTTAGAGCGAGACCTATACTGCGCTGTGATTGGCCAGCTGTGGGCACATTTACAATAAAAACCTCGTCAGTGAACTACGAGGGAAAAACCCCCCAAAACAATCAAAAACAAAATAATCACTCATTAATCATAATTGAGGTAAAATTCATTTAGATTTTAGGTCAAATCACCCAGCCCTAGGTTGCAGTGTTTCCCACAAAATAACAGACAACTAGCTGGGTATATTCTCTATTCCTAGAAGCTTATTTAACCATTTTAATTCTACATTATTCTCCACCTTATTTTAGTGTTTACTCACTAATCTGCTCCCTTTCCCTTCAGTTCTCTTTTCCCCCCACGTACCTTCTGAAAGCGAATCCAACTTGGTAGCTAACAAATGACATCACTACTGGTGTGTTCACTGGTCCGTGCTTGTAAAATATCCACCGTGTCTACTACGTCTTGTAACGTAATACCAGATAACATCGCTCGCCAAAGATACCTGGCTGGCGATATCTGGGCGACCACATGGTTATTGTGTCCATTAACATTTTTACTTACTATATCGCCATTGTGATAAAAAAAAAAAAATACCCGACTTAATCTTACCGCCCATTGCTGGAATTCAAAATACTGGACATTTGTTGTTTTTAATTTTATCAAGGTGTTGATGGACAGAGTTCGTAGCAACCTAGCATGCTATGCTAATACTGCAAATAACTAACTAAAGTCTCAATTACTGTGTCATCATGAAAAAGTTATACCCTCATACTTCAGCAGTTTCCAGGGGGACACATTCAAGACCTTTTCAGTGTTTTTCAATCTCCAGTTGGAAGAAATCCAAAACCCCTAAAAAGTCATGTGTTGGGGTAATCATGCACAATGTCTTTTATATCAACTTTTGTGTTATTGACACAGATCTACATGCAAGGATTTTCCTTCAAGGATATCGAGTATCAAGTATTCATGGGCCACAACTGACAAATGCAGGCTGAGGAGAAAAGACAGTGTGGGAGGAGCTGAAAAGGGCATGAGGACCCAGGAATAGAGCGAGATACATAGAGTCAACATGACCCTGACAGAGAGAGAGTTGACAGCAGCTGTTTGTCCTCCAACACTGAGAGCTGAAATAGCTGTAGCTAATGATAACAGCTGTCTGCTTTTACATCACTATCACGTCCAACTAATGGCCTTAATGCTCAAGACAGACACGGGGAATAGTCCGACCCTTTATCAGTCTAAACACAATAAAGCCTGTGAAAGGTTTCTTTGCTGTGACTGCAGAGGCAGCAATGATGCAACAAGTGCTTTTTTTGGTGTGAGGAGTTACTTAGTTAGAAGTCAGTTTAGATATTATCACAACTATCATAGTCATAACACTATTTTTAGAGCAGGTTGCCCACACACAGAAGATGGTGGTTCCTCCAGTCTGCAGTTGGCATCTTAGACTCTGCCATCAGTGTATGAATGTGTGTGAATGGGTAAAAGCACTCCGAGTGATCAGAAGAATAGAAATGCGCTCAGACCATTTATCATTTTACCATAATATCAGCTTAAATTAATTCAGTTTCTGATTCTGGGTTCATTTCAGATGAATCCAACAGCTATGACACGACGAAGCTTCTTGAATTTATTACAGCTCTGATTCATGCCTCTGACTGGCTTCTTCCTAAAGACGATGGTTGTGTGTGTGAATGGTTGATGGTCTATGTGCTGGCACTGCGATGGACTGGCGACCTGCTAGGGTGCAGCACACCTTACTTCTTGCCCAATGCCAGCTGGGATTCGCTCCAGCCCTCCCACGACCCTGTACACAGGATAAGCTGTTGTCGATGACTGAGTGTTAAATTATCAAAGAACAGTGTTTCCCATTAAATAACGAGACCACGGTGGCTCGCCATAGTCTAATTTCCTCCGCCATAGTTTCAAAATGAACTGAATATATTTTTACACATCTCATAACAACATTTCAGACCTCTAATGTTGTGTTTTGTGGGCGCTGCTGAAAGCTCGCACGCTCACACCCTTTGGAATCGGACTCGAGACAACCACTTTTTTTTTTTAGGGAACTACGGCAACGTTAACGGTCTGTTTCTCACTTTTTAAGCTTGGCACACCTGTATTTGGAGTGCGCACGTATTCAAGGCTTTATGGTAAATCCACTGTAACGGCCCAGTGTGAGCTAACAGGCAGGTTAGCAACTTTATCCTGTCATTTTCTCTCTTTACAAAGACAAGTGTTGCAGTATGAGAGTCCTACCTGAAGAGAGGCTGTGAAGTCTTCTGTTACGCCGTACGAGAACCACATACAACATTATTTATCAAGTTGGTTCGGACTTAGTGCAAGGATACAAATGTGACAACGTCCAGTTTTCAAAATAAGGTGTCTATACAGTATGGAAATAAGATTAATTGGATTATATTCACAGAAACATATTACATGTTTCCAATAATGAAGGACACATGTGGTTGTTTTTCTTGAGAGGCCATTGTGTTTGAATACATGCATTTTTTTGTTTGTTTTTTTTTTGTGAATTTTGTCATGATTGTATGTAGCATTTTAATATGTTTTGTTTATGTATGGCTGCTACCTTTGATCTCAATGAGACTTCCTCGTAAAATAAACAAATAATAAATAAAAGCAAAAAAAAATTTATTTAATGTTTTTGGAAAAACATTAAATAAATTTAAAATAAATCCCCCACTGTGACCCATCCACCAATCCAGCAAGACACTTAACCCCTAGTTGCTCCAGAGGCGTGCGGCCTCTGACATGTTTATCAACTTTAAGTAGCTTTGGATAAAAGCTTCAGCAAAATGAATTAATGTAATATTCCTAGAAAGCCTCTTAATTTTGCACCAAATTAATGCATTTAACTTTAAAATGTACAAAGTTTTCTTCCAGGGGGAAGAAAAGACCCGATAAGAAGACCCACCATAGTCTCTTAAAATCAACACTGAAGAAACTCCTGTATTTAGGAGAAAGGTCATTAAAAGAAAAAACTACTTCTGGAACCAGCTGCTCCAACTACATACTTAGCTGTGATTGGTTAAAAGGCGACTTGAAGCGATGTAAAGCCACATAATCTCCCAAATCCTCCCACGGACACTGCCTAACTACGCCGGAACCAGGACCACAAGAAACCATGCAGTGGCCTAGTCAGGATTATCCCTGGATCCAGTTTCACTCAGGACTTCCTGTCACTGCTTCACCATTATAACTAAAGGCCGACACAGCTCTCTTTACAGTAAGGCTTTTACTGTGAAAATAAAGGTACAGGATGTATTGATTTTGTATTAAAAGCATGTACATACTGCACAAGGTCAAATTAAACTAATCAATAAAAACCACAACAAACCAAACTGTCAAGCTAAAAAACCAAACCACACCTACAGACATGCAGCAGTGTATCTTCGAGCTCTACTCCTCATGAACACATCCACGAACCATGCCAAACCAAGCTCACGCGCCTTTCCTACCTGTCTCCTCTACGACAGGCTGCACTTCCTCCTTCGTCTGAGGGACCTCCTCCTCGTTAAAGCTTCCTAATCAGGCCAAACCAGGCCAGATAAGAACCAAACCCAAACCAAACCAGGTCAAACCTAATTTGTACAACAATCCTACCTGTCTCCTGGGCCACAGACTCCGCCTCCTCCTGTATCAGCGGCTCCGCCTCCCCCTCATACACCTCCTCTTCAGTGTACACCTCCTCCTCCTCCTCTTCCTCGGTATGGACATCCTCTACAGGAGCTGAGGAGGAGGAGGTACCATAGTGGCGATAGCGCTGCATTGGCCGTCTCAGGTCTCAGACAGACCCAGAAACTGGACCAGATATACCCTAGTGACCAGACATGCACAGTGCGCTGCACACTACACACCAAATATTTATTTTAGGATATAAAGAGATGGACCTGAGAAGTACCAGACAAAAGTAAACGATTTAAAACAAAGTCCTTAGAAAGAAAACAAGTAAAAATCAATGAGATAAAAACTATCCGAAAGAACAAATATTCCAAATTATTTGATCGTCAGGCAAACAGAAAAGCAGTGAGCTGGGAGAATGACTGAAAGTGACTGAGCTAAGCAGGAGAAAGAAAGAGCTCCTCCTCTTCTTCTTCTTCTACTACAGTCTACTGGCCATCCAGAACCTGATCCACACTATTATTAGAGCTGACAAACACAGGGACAGGGGGTGGGGGGTGCCAGAGAGGACAGAATAGCCCACCAAATAACCTTGACACTTGTTTGTTCACACACACACATACGTTTGTTCCTCTATCCCTGTGGGGACATCTTGTTAACATAACACCTAACCTTAACCTAACTGTAACCTGAACTCTAAAACCAAGTCTTAACCTTCAAACAGCATCTCTACCCGTCCCCATCGATAAGTGTGCATTCGGGTTGTTCGTAACACCCTCTCAGCTCTGGGCTCTGTGTGAAATTTTCACTGGACCGCAGCAGACTACGACCTCACAATGTTTAACACCAGTGAATCATTACCAGAGAGAGGTTTTATTGAAAACACCAGTACATGATCATACCAAAAAAATATTAAACTTTTAGTTGAACAAGTTACCACTTTCTGTCTGAGTTGCCTACTTACTTTAGAGCTGAAGCAATTAATCGACTGCTAAAAGATCACTCTGAAACTATCCTGATGAAGTCATTTTTAAAGTTAAGTTGCCAAACATTTGCTGGTTCAAGTTTCTCAGTTGTGATGATTTACTGTTTTTCATTTTCTTGAGTCAATGTAAACTGTTTGAAGATGTCACCTTGGGTTCGGGCAAACATCTTTAATGTGTCAACCTTTAGCATAAACATTAATGCACAATATTTACCTGCATCCACTAATTACTAAAATCAGAAATTATATAATTTAAAAAAAGTGTTTGACTAAGACAGAGCACACTATTTTCAGGCAAATATTCTCTGTTGCACCTTATTCCTGCTTTAACAGTTATTTACTTTAACTACACTGAACAAAATTATAAACGCAACACTTTTGTTTTTACCCCCATTCATCATGAGCTGAACTCAAAGATCTAAGACTTTCTCTATGTACACAAAAGGGCCATTTCTCTCAAATATTGTTCACCAATCTGTCAAAATCTGTCTTAGTGAGCACTTCTCCTTTGCCAAGATTATCCATCCACCTCACAGGTGTGGCATATCAAGATGCTGATCAGACATCATGGGTATCGCACTGGCCACAATAGAAGGCCACTCTAAAATGTGCAGTTCCATCACACAGCACAAAGCCACAGATGTCGCAAGTTTTGAGGGAGTGTGCAGTTGGCATGCTGACAGTAGGAATGTCCACCAGAGCTGTTGCCTGTGAATTAAATGTTCATTACTCCGCCATAAGCCGTCTCCAAAGGTGTTTTAGAGAATTTGGCAGTACATCCAACCGGCCTCACAACCGCAGACCATGTGTAACCACACCAGCCCAGGACCTCCACATCCAGCATCTTCACCTCTAAGATCGTCTGAGATCAGCCACACGGAGAGCTGCTGCAACAATCGGTTTGCATAACCTAAGAATTTCAGCACAAGCTGTCAGGAACCGTCTCAGGGAAGCTCATCTCGACCTGACTGCAACTTCGCACAGCCATTGAAGAGCAGTGGACCAACTGTCCACAGGCCACAGTCAACAACCTGATCAATGCGAATGAGATGTGTTGGTGGTCACACCAGATGCTGGTTTCCAGACCCCCCAATACATTGAAACTGCACATTTTGGAGTGGCCTTCTATTGTGGCCAGTGCGATACCCATGTTGTCTGATCAGCATCTTGATATGCCACACCTGTGAGGTGGATGGATAATCTTGGCAAAGAGAAGTGCTCACTAACACAGATTTTGACAGATTGGTGAACAATATTTGAGAGAAATGGCCCTTTTGTGTACATAGAGAAAGTCTTAGATGTTTGAGTTCAGCTCATGATGAATGGGGGCAAAAACAAAAGTTTTGCGATAATAATTTTGTTCAGTGTAACAAACTTGGCAAAAATGGTGCAGTGTAAAATGCCTTTTGTGGTAAAGACGAAGCCGGTTTCAACACAGCAAGTTTCACTTTTACAAAACTACTTGAAGCAGCTTGAAGGGGCAGCGTAAGCAGTCAGAAATAAGATGATGCTCTCTCCTGCTGTGTATTGCACGTTAAAAAACAACAACCTGGCTCTCTGTGTTTGCAGTAGATGCACCTGCTGTTGTAATTTGCATTTCCATATACACTGAAGGTGGATCAGAGCAGAGGTTATTTGCATTTCTGTCTCCGCCTTTACAAACCGTGAATGCGAAGCAAATCCATTATTAGCACTGGGTCTAATAGAGTTGGGTATAAATTAGTTTTTGTGTAATGTGTAAGTGTAAATGTCATAATTTAATTACATTAGGATAGTGTCCATATAACACAGCACATCTGTGAGCATCACAGGAATAAGTGCAGTGACAACAAGTAAAATTAAAGCTGCAAGCAGCATTGGGCGGGCCCTCGCATGTGTAGCGCGTCGAGGTGTGAGGCAAACGCCTTGCAGATTCTGGGGCTTATGTTAATCATCACTTTCTGTGTCCCCTTTATGGCGCTGTAATCAAGCATGTAAACTTTGGTGCAGATGTGAGCATGTACACTGAAGTTGAAACAACTTCCTCTTTCATGGCAAATCATTGATTTTGGTTTCACAAAAACTCACCCTTTGTACAACTTTTAATCGTCAAAGGCTTTAAAATAGACAGGGGAAATCTGAAGTCAGTCAGACTAATTCTGTAGGAGGAGTTAGTTAAAGTATGGAGTGTGTAAAAAATCCTAACAAACACATAAAATTCAAAATGGTCACTTCCTGTTGTGTTTAGGACATTGCTCCAAGAGGCTCTTTTGTACATCTGGACATGATATATGTGCCACAAAAATGTCTTGCATGTAAGTAAAACGTGCAGCTGAAGATGATACGTCCAACTGCTAAGAGTTGTACATTACAGCGTAAAATGTATCATTTCCTGTTGCCAGCAGGTGGCGCTATGACTTCGAGTGAATATTGGCATATGGATGATTCAGATCAGGACTATTGTTATACTTATCAAATGTGGTGCAGATGTGATTACGTGTACTGAAGTTATAAAAACTTCCGGTTTCATGGCAAATCACCAATTTTCGGTAACACGCCACGGGCAAGCTGGTCGACTTGTAATAACCATTTGAATAACTTTTAATCATCAATGGGTTTAGAGTGCACAGCGAAAATTTGAAGTTGATTGGACTAAATCCCTAGGAGGAGTTTGTTAAGGTACAAAGTGTAAATTGCCACAGAAATTTCGTACACATAGGTGAAACTTAGTCCGGGGGCTGCTCTGTAGGGGGCGCTAGCGAGCCATTTTGCCAAACCCATAAAATACGAAATTATTCGCCGCTGTGCAAAGTTTGGTTAGCATGCTTAGGCCCCCAAAATTCAGGTTACTTTGCAGAAAAAAATAAGAACAAAATCCCCTTGCAGGTTCGTGTTCGGGCCCTAATAAGGTCACTGAACTCAAACTACAACAGACATAAATATAACAACAAAAATATATTTTTGCCAGTTGTATTGATAAATGATAATGATAAAGTGATGATTATAAAACCTTAAAAGGTTTATAAATATGTAAATAAGGTGAGTGAAGTGTGTTTATCTGAGTTTGTTGTCGACTCCATCCCTGGACCTGGTAAAACATCACCTACAGACTGATGTCTTTCAAAAAGTGTAAGCTAATGTTAGCGGGCTATCACTGGGTTATCGCTAGGTTAGTTTAGCATCATTAACAGGGCCACTGTCAGGCAGGCCAGTGGTCACACAGAGCATCCCTCGATAACCATTAGCTAGATCGGATAGTTCTCTTTATTGTGGATATTTTGACATATACCAAAAACACTGCTAAACTGGCTTGTAGCTATCTATCTACTCTTGCATCGCGAGAACGTTAAACCAGATTCTGTTGAAATTCTGCCAGTTAAATATGCTTTTGTTTAGTGGCAGAGCGAACACCATAGAAAATACGAATTAGGACAATCCCATAAACGTATACACAACAGCAGTCAGTTCGGCATTGGTAAAATACACCAAATGTGTTTGCTTTCATGACATCTTGTGTTTTCCTCTTGGTAACGCTGCTTCTAGCCGTGCAGAGGGACGCACTTTTTTCCTGAAGAAGACCGTGGGAACTACGAGAGATTTAACAGTGAAATCTGTAGTTTGCGTTGCACAGTGTGTCGGTATGTTAGCCGCATTGAAGAATGTACGTAAACGATTCTTAAAACATCTTCCGTTTTGTTCTAGCGCATGCACATATTTGCCGATCGGGAAAACAACTTAAAATAGCAGAATATGAAATGGAAATATGTACAGAACAGACAGAGGCGCGTCCAGGGCTCAAGGAATCTAGCGAGGAAAGGGTACTGACCTTTTCTGGAGTGGGTTTTGGAATTTTTTCTCTGGGTCATTGCTTCGTAAAATCCCTAATGCTGTTTTTCTGTTGTGCAGCTGCGAACTAACGACCTAATTTATCTGTAATTACGATAAAAATGTGAACAAAGCAGACGCTCCTTGTTGCTTTATGTTCTCTCCGCTCTGCGACTTCACCAAAAATCACGTCCTCACTTGGATACCAGCATAGCCAAAGTCCATGGTAACCGTGATTGACTTTATGTTTGGCCAATCAGAGGCCCTGAATCTGCTCGAGGGCGGAACCAAAGGCGGGTTTTCGTGATTTTGGACCAATCAGGTTGCGGTACAGCTTCCGTGTCTCGTCCATCTCTTTGGAAAGGAGCAAAAACGTGGCAGAGGAGGAAGAGGATTTTTAAACATCTGGGGCGGAGAGCAGCCGTGACTGAGGGACAAATAGTGACTTTAAACTTTATAGGTATAGCTCAGGCCTAAAGGCTAATGTAGGCTAAATTACAGAATTAGTAGCAAAACAGCTGACTTTGCATTTACTTCTTTTCCAATATCTTCTCCCTTCCATTATGATATTTAAGGATATTTATGATCAGTTATCATCATCATCAGGTTTTATCACTGTAATGGGCTACTGAATAAAGCTCCACAGGCTTTTGCCTGTTTGGTATATTAATCCCATATTGGACCTGTTGTAGTATTTTAAGGTGCATTTATTATTTTCCACATGTATATTCGTGTATGTAGGCTATCTATGTATGCAGCCCTTGAAACAAATATATTTCAAGGCTGCTTTACAATGTTGCTTTCAATTAACAACAGTGACATTTACAAGAATAAGAATTTAGAAATGTTTGAAAAGATATCGTTGACTCAAGAGATCTAAACTCAACTTTAAATAGGACGTTTTCTTGGTTGCATGTGGTGCAGTCGTTGTTTTACCCTGCAGAGGGCGCTGTAGTATAACATTTGGCAGACCTGGAACCGTGAAGCAGAAAAATGAACAGTTCCTCCTCTGTCAGGCTGAATTTGTTAGGTATATCATCACTCTTATATACTGAAATTTACAGTTTCCTCCTGCAAGGAAAGTCAGATTGAGTCGTCATTCCTCAGATTAATTTATTTGCTTTGCAGCCACAGAGCAGACAGCAGATACATGTTTCAGCATCTAAAAAGCTAAACAAAAACAGCAAACATATTCAATGTCTTAACAGGAAGCATGTATAAAAGCATCTTTAAAATAAAAAAAAAAAGACAACATGACCATGCAAAATAAACTAACAGAGGTCAGAAGTAGCAGTGGGAATAAAACATGTGACCTTCTTTTCAAATGGTCTTAACTGTATAGAAACTTCATCTTAAATTAACCTGAGTTACCTGGAGATTAATTAATTAAATGAGTTGTTTATGAAATTCTGTCTGTCTGTCTGTCTTTAGTATAATAAGTAACAGGAAAAACTTCCCTTAGGAGTTTTGCATGTAATCCAAACAACCACAAAATTTAATAAAAAGGCTGATTGGCTAAATAACAATACCAAAATGGACCTGAAACTAAATTGTTTCAGAAATTTTGACGTTTAAACTTATTTAGTAACTGTTAAAAATGAATGAATGCTTATTGGAGCCAACCAGACTCCAGCACTGTGAGGACTAATTTAATGTAATTATGAATCACCTTAAAGTAAACTATTATTTGCAGAGCGTCATGGAAAAATTTACACAGGGACTTTAAAACTAGAACGTTTCAATGGTGAAAGGAAATTTCACACACCAGAAGCTTTTCTGTCAGTCAGACAGATTTCCATGTTTGACATCTTTTTTTTTCTCACAGAATTACTGAGCAGTCGGTGTTTCCTCAACAGGGAAGGAAAATCCCATTGAGCCGCATTCAGAGCATCATGTGACACCATGACTCTCAGATGAACAGGACGCATCGTCACACAAACTCTTGACGTCTTATCACCAAATCTATACTGAACAAACCAACAAAGAAATAAAATAACGCAATGGCAGCTGGATCGTTTGGGGTTTGAGATATTTGGAAAAGAACGTGAACATTTTGGACCAGACTAGTAAGAAAAACTGTCGTCAGCATTGCGGTTTTGCTGCTGTTGTCAGTTTGAGTTTATATTGAAGCTTTGAATCAGACTGACAGGTGTCCAGGCTTCTACAGCACACACACAAACACACTTAAGGCATGTGCACACGTATATACATGACGTCTTTACAAAACACACTAAACATACCCACAGTTTACTGATGAAGATCATGTGTCACATACCAGCCATGACCCATGAATTAACCCCTCAGCAGACACACACGCACACACAGCCTTGTGGTACTATCTTTGTTGGGACCTGTCATTGACATAATGCGTTCCCTGACCCTAACCTTAACCTAATTCTAACCCTAAAACCAGGTCCTAACCCTCATACAGCCCTTTAAACTTGAGGGCTCCAGCAGTTTGGTCCCCACAAATCTGTCAGACCTCACAAGTAAAGTGGAGTCCTGCTCTTTGGAACCCACAAATATAGAAAAACAAGCGCCCACACACACACACACACAGATATTCTGTCAGCTGAGAGATGCCTCGTAAAATCTCATTAAGATGTGACCAAAAGTATGTGGACACTTGAACTTGACAGATGAACATGAGATTCTGATACAGTGTTCATTAATGTGCTGTTTTAACAGCCTCCCCTCTTCTGGTTTCAGTCTTGCTTCCATTCAGACTGATGTTGGTGATCAGGTCTGGCTCTTAGTCCGCGCCCTACTTCATATAAAGGTGTTGGGATGAGTTTGAGGTCAAGACTGTGCAGAACGGTCAAGTTCTTCCACACCAAACTGGAGAAACAGTTTCTTTATAGAGCTGCTTTGTTCTCATCATGTTCAAACAGGAAATGGACTAACACACAAAGCTGTTGTGGCATTAGGATTTCCTTTCACTGGAAGTTAAGGGGGCAAACTCAGGAGAAAAATAAACGGATCGGTTGTCCACATACTTTTGGCCATATAGTTTATATCAATAAAAGTTTGGTTACTGTTATACTGTTACCTTATGATGAAAAACGTCATGAAATATCAGTGTGCTTCAGTATTAACAGCCTGAGAGCAGACATACTGCTTTACAGTGAATTAAAGGAGATCAATGCAATGCATGTCAGCTGTTGACCTTACAGCAACAATGTGTGTGTGACAGTAATCATAATAACAAAATCTTTACTCATGCAGTAGCCTATACCCTATAATGTAAGTCTATACCCGGTGTGTGTGTATGTGTGTGTGTGTGTTTTCTGTTTTTCATGTGCCCCGTGCGGGTGCGTGTGGAGGTGCCTGTGTGCATAAACATGTGTGTCCTCGGTCGCCACAGCGCGAGACAAACGGGAGTTAGGGCGTATCCTCGCGATACTCCTCATATCTCTCTCTCTCTCTCTCTCTCTCTCTCTCTCTCTCTCTCCATGTCCAGGGGGCGATCAAGCGGCGGGGATGATGGGAGTATTGGCCGGTCAGACCCTACCAGCCTACCCGACCAACCGGCGCACCGAAAAGCAGCAAAACACTCCGGTCTGACAGCAAAACTTCCCACTTTCTCCAAAAGAAAAAAATAAAAGCAACAGCTGGAGCCGCGAGGTGGACTTTTATTTTGGAGGCGTGTGCTCTTCTTGTTAATTATCACACCTGACAAGGATAAGAATAAATTAAACATCTCTTTTCCCTGAGGTGCAGGAGTGTGTTTTTTTCCGGAATTAAGGGCTGAATAAAAGAAAGATGAAGCCGCTCCCGGAGGATTAAAGCGGCTGAAGTTGTGAAGATGCCGGAGGAAGCGGAGCAGACGGAGTGAAGCAGCCCGGTGCGCACTTTCCGCTCCCGCTGGACTGAAGCGCTACAGTCCGCTCCCCTGCCGCTGCTGGAGGGGCACTTCTGCGCTCCTGCCTCTCCTCGTTAATTTCATCATCTTTATCGCTCTGCTTGGATTAAAAAAACAAGCTTTATCTTCTTCTTCTTCTTCTTCTCCAAGAGTTTTTTCACTCCAAACACTTTTCTTTTCTTGTGCTGCGCGGAGTTTTTGTGCTCATGGATCGGCCACTTTGCGCCTCCTCTCCGGATGGGATTTGGCAGCTGTGAGCGGGGCGCGGTGGAGCGGTGATGGTGTCAAACGAGATTAAAAAAACCCGCAGTTTTTAACGCAGGAGTTTCACATGTGAGTACATGCGTTTCTTTGTTATTGTCTTGAAAGGTTTGGAATAACCGTGATGTCACTGTGGGGTGAACTCCGACCTTTTAGAGCCAGTTGATCCTGACAAGGCAAAACACCTGCGACAGAGTGAAAATCACTTCTGTCAACGAGATATATTTAATTTCTTAATTTCTTACCCACAACAGAATCTGACATCAAATGTAGGCATGTTTGCAGTGAATATGGGGATTAAACCAATTTTGAAATATGTTAAAACTCATATTTCTGCACACATCCTATAAAGGAGAGCAGTAAACCAAAGTCAATTATGGAAATAACCCATTTCCACATATAAACTCTACTGTCACGTAGTTTAACTCTTCATGCTGCTGATGGTTTTTGACCACACACACTGTGGTTCTGGATGACGCAGACTCTGCTTTTTCCAGAAAACAAGCACTTTAAAGTAAAAATCAGACCGGTTCACTCTTCTCTCAGTCCCTGTTTTGAGCTACTTTTTCGCCCTCCAGAGACTCCCGTTTCCCTCTGTTCCTATGCAACCCCGCTCCTTATCAGCCGTGCCGAGCCGAGCTGTGCCACCACTTTCCATTAATTAACCGTGTCTGTTGATGTAAGAGGAGATACATTTGGGGCTGCTGGCTGCCGCTGGTTGACATATTTTGACCTGTTTGCTTAACAGTAATATTCGGAGAGTATTTCAATAATGTTTCCTCTGAGACTTGAAGTGCGTCATTGGTACTCAATAGAAGCCTTTTTAGTACTTTTATTATATTTTATTCTTTATATTACAGTAAATCTGTGATTACATTGCTATAATATTCAAAATATCTATAACTTTAAAGGACCTAAAGGAATTGGATCCTCCCTATCTCTATAATGTTCGTGTTTAATGCTACAACATTCCTATGATATTCATGATTTTGGTGGTTGGCTACTTTATTATAATAATAAAGTGACCTCTTAGTATAATAACCTACTGTACAGGCCTATCATATATAATTGTTAATGTCTTATGATATCACTATAATATTTGTATTTTATGGAGCCTAGCTGTGTTTCTGGTGGACTTCTTGTGCTCTGATGCCTTTTATCTCCTATGATATCTCTATAATATTCCTTTAGTGTTCCTATATTAAATGGCATTTGAAGTGCATGTTTAGCGGTGAACAACACATTTACAGCACTGAAAATACTCTATGTGTCATCTGTGCTTTTATTCTAATGGTGTGCTGTGTGTGGTTGGTTTGCTGGATTTGGATTTTCCCAACAAGCTGCATCAAATGAAACTTTTGGTCACAATGTTTTGTCAGTTCCAGGGACTGTTAATGCAGAAATATTAAGATTTTTGTTGATTTATTCAGGATGCAAATGGTTTTGATTTGAATTTTTCCTGTTAGTGAGGATGTTGAGAAAAGAAGAGAGAGCTGAAACTCAAAAACAGAATTTCAGTCAGACCTGCAGCTGTGTTCATTGGAGTTGCCTGACGACCTTTGACCTTCCGCCTTCTGGATGAATCTGTCACACATACTGACCTGACTACCACAGATTACTTCCCAGTACACAGTGTGCAGCCCAATCAGTTGTGACTTCTTTTACAGGCAGTTCATCAGAAACCAAACAACCTTCACATGATAAAAGCCCATAAAATTGCAGACGGAATTATTATATGATTGAAAATAGAAACACTAACAAAAACAAACAGTATTAAATGTTTTATCTTCATTTTCTCATGTACATGTAATTCCTCAAAATACATTCATGTTTTGGATTACGGTAAAAAACTTGCATGTTAACCCAAAACTCTGCATCAACATTTTTTCTAAATAAAAAGCAAAATGATTTGAGTTTAACATATTTAAACTTTGATAAATTAATTTAAAAGATTGACATGAGAAAACACCCCACAGCGGCTGCATGTCAATCTCAGGCTGTGCTGACCCTCCAACCCCCCACCTCACTGAAGTGTCCTTGACTTGGGACGGCAGTCCTGTAGCTCATGTCATGACCTTCAGCCCTTCCCTTTGGTGGGAGTACTAACAAGAATTTATCGGTTTAGAAATCCAGTACTCATGTGGGTTTTTTTTGAAGGCTGCGTTAACCTCTGCCTGCCTCACCTGCAGAAACTCCACAGGGCAGGTGAGTAGGTGACATGGTGGGAAGGGAGGAAAGAAAGGAAGGTACAGTATGTGAGAGGGGAGATTGTTGGGTGATTGATAGCAAGTTAGGACAGCATGATAGGACACAAGGTAGGAAGGACGGGAGGTAAATCAGAAAAATAAATGTAGGTAGGAAAAAAGAAAGTCTGGCAGGAATAGGCAACAGTGTTGTGATGATGCTTCACCTGCTGCAGCATCCTTGACCCTATCATTCTATTGGCTATTCACTGGTGTGTTTACTGCCATGAGAGTCTGTGTCAGCTTCCTCAGAGGGTTTCTATCCAACAAAAAAAACAAAGACTTAAATGTGGTGAAGGACGTCTAAAAGAAAGAGCCACCACTCACTGTAAAATATCTGGCGGCACCTTTATCCTGAGACAAGTTTGAGGTGTAAAGGAAGTGAGCATTCTTTGCAAGGTATATAAATAACCAAGCTCATCAGAAAAACAGCCGTGTAGGTCGATTCTGCAGCAGCTTATTACGACTGATATTTTTGTTTATTGTTAGGTTGCGACCTCTAGACGGGGGCAAAAGAGGAAGAGAGTGGAAAGAGCGGGAAAGTCCGCCTAAGAAGGTGGCTGGGGTGAATAGATGGTTCAAACAAGCTGTCACCCAGAAGACTGAGATTTCAATCAAGTCAACACTGACTTATTTAAAGTTTCAAGTTAAATAATGTCAAGTAGGTAATTTACCTAATGTGACATAAGTCATCTGGTTTAGTTACTTAACGTACTTATTTGAACCTAAACCATGTAGTTTTGTTACCTAAATCTAACCAAACTGAGGCTGTTTCACAACATTTACCATGTGACGTACTTAAAGTCCGGTACGTTCCAACAGTCATACATGTCATTTTGGGAGTCACTGACAATAGACCTATTTTGTTGTTTAGGTATGAGGACGTGTTGCAAAATCTGGACTATTGGACACATTTCTAACATTTAGTCATGGGCAGCCAAGGATTCCTTAATAATGCAAGATTCTTGGACATATTCATGTGGTCTTTTGAGTGAAAAATTGTGGCACATTTGATCATATCGCTGTGTATTTTCAGTCAAGGTCGTGCAGCATTGTCCCATTTGAAAACACCGTGAAACAAAATGTATATTTTCCAAGTTCTAATCCTGTTCCCTCTGAAGTATGTATGTTTATGAGTATTTTATGTCAGAATCTCTCTTAAGTATACAGATGTTTCAGGTCAAGTCAGGTGAAGCTACAAAACTGTATGAAATCAAATGGTATTTTTGGTGATTAGCTAATCGCGCCCATCATATAAAAACAACACTTGACAGTGAGCTAGTTGCTTAGTAGAAGGTGTTTGTTTGGATTTCAGCTGGTAAACCTGGAGAATGTGGCTGAAGTCAGATTTATCCGTTTAACTCTCGTCCTCCTCCTGATCTGTACGGTGGAGGCCAACAGTCCTTATGGAAGCTAAAGATGCTCTAAACTGCATTTCATTGTAAAAAAGGCAGCTTAACAGCAGCTGACCTCCAGAGGCTGAAGATCTCGCCTCACTGCAATGATGTAAAGGTGTACTCGGAGTGTGCCAGTACACTTTGACATCGTTGATGGGTGTGGCTGCAGGTTAACAATCATTTGATCACTCAGATTGAATGAAACAATGATTCTCAGTGTGCGTCGTCATGGTTCAAACTCTGCAGTAGCTGCTGTGTCAACACCTCAACACCGCTCAGCTTTAGCCCTACAACAGGTGTCCCAGTGCTGCACCGCCTGCCTCGCATGCATTACATTTGTGTGTGTGTGTGTGTGTGTGTGTGTGTGTGTGAGTCTACGTGAGCCCACGGGTGTTCAAACCCGTATTTGGTGTGTTTGTGTGACTGTGTAGGTGATAAAGCGTGTGTGTGCCTGGATGCGTCTCAGAGTTCGTTTCTGTGTGTGTGTGTTGGAGCTGAAAAGCCCCACTCGGTGTTGTGCTGTTTGTTCAGTGTTGGAGCAGCAGGCCTGACCTTTCCTGTGCCGGGCGCTGAGACAACACGAGCTGCTGTTTGACAGACGAGTCAGCGCCGTGGCTCTCTGTTCTGACATCAGTCCTGCAGGCTGAAACCAGCTTCCTGCTTATTATCTTCAACCTTTGTGCAGTAAAAGCGCTGTATGAAACCCGAGAGCAGTTCTATAGCTTTTATCATGGAGCTCGAAAACCCTCCTGAGCCCTCACAATCCACCTCTCAGCGTTTGCTTTGCATTCATTTCTTTTTTTGTGTGTTTTCATGGCCATTAACTCCCATGAAAGACACAAACGTCCATGTCGCATACTGTGAAATGTGAAAGGCCCATTTCTCAGAACATTACAAAGAATCAAATGGTGTGGAGCGTTGACCGAAGCTTGTGACCAGAACATTATTGTTCCTTTTGACCACAAGAACTAATAAACCTTTCCAGGGAACCGATAAACCTTTCTAAGAGCTCAGACACATCACCTGCGTTTCGATGATCCAAGGTTTAAATTTAGCTCCTCCTCCAGAGAGTTCCTGCTCTGGAGGAGGAGCCTGTTGAGAAACAAGAGAGCTGAAACTTCACTGTATTTTAATGCTGTTACATTTCATACATGTTCCTGTTACGTACTAAAGAACAAAAATGACATGAAAACACTCACAGATTGTTGCTTTGTTGTAGACAGGCAAAAGAGGAATCAGCAAAAAGGGGGACTTCTAGTTCCGAAATTAAGTTTACGACCACAGCAGCTCAAGATCAGAAAACGGTTTTAATTTGAATATGCATCCTGTTGAAGTGTCGCTCTAGAGGACGTGGACCAACAGCAAACTATGTTGTTTAATTTGCAGGACAAATATGAGACTCCAACCCAACATGAGACCCAGACTATATATT